AAGGGAGGCCAGTATTTAAACGAGACTTAATTTTCTAATTATGAGTGGTTGTTTGTTTTGTGAGCAATAAAATAATTTAAAAATAATTTTTAACGATACAATAGTGACGATTATTATTTAAAAAAAAAATTTGTTAGGCTTAACATTGATGGAAATTCAATGCGAAGTTGGTTAATAGCAATATACTAATATACTTTATTAATAATGTATTTTTTCATTCTTTTCGGTTATCCGATTTTTTTCAGTTATCTGACCAACCTGAGTACTCAATTGAGTCGGATAATTGATGCTCTACTTTATATACATATTTTCTTAAACAAATACCTGAAAGAAATTTGGAAAATATGCTGTTCTGCAATGCATTTTGGATTGAGAACCACTATTCTTACATATAATTTTCTTCAAATTTTTTCAGTTTATTTTGAGAATTAAAATATGTCTGGATGTTAAATATTTGTATTGGATAAAGCTTTCTTATGTTTACTTTTATCCAATATAAATTCAATAAAGTGCAGTAATTAGAGCAAATATTAATTAACCTGAAAACCAAAGAATAGAAACAAGCTAATGTATATGCTATACATGCAAAAACACAACTTCGTATATTCCATATTTACTCATGTATAAGATGATCTCGCATATAGGATGAGGTGTGACTTTAAAGATCAAAATAAAGAAAATTTAGATATATTAATACAATTCTAATTTTATTTTGTTCAATCACAAATAAGATGATATGAAATGCATGTATTAAGGCAAACAACCATGTTTTCTTGACACTATCATCTTTTGTGTGCTCGGACTTGCCCTCCAAAGCTTCATTACAACTCTCCTCTTTTTCACTCTCGTTCCACAAGCATCATCCTCTGATCCATCGAGTAAATTTGAAATGCAGTATTTCCTGACTGACTTTGCTATCAGCTCTTGAGAAATGCTTTTCCATGCGCCTGATACCTACGTAGTATGTAAAACCAAAAGATTATGAAGGCATGACCAGAAAAAGTTTATTTTTAATAATTCCGAATGTGCAAATATTCATTAAAAATATCAATTTAACAAATATGAAATAACTATATTTATAATCATTGCTAAGTGACCAGCTATTTTCGGACCATCTCTTTGAAAGCAACATTCACCTTGTCCTCAATAGCACCCTGCTATAATGGCAGCATGAACTCAAATGTTACACAAAAATTCTCAGCATGGTTCACAAAAATTATTGCAAAAATGCAAAGAATCCTTCACTCACATGTATAGGACGACATAGGTTTTTGAAGCAGTGAAAAATTAATAAAAACCTTGTCTGATATGTGAGTAAATATGGTAAATCTGCAAAATTATGACCAAAACATAGTTAAGAATTTGGGAAGTAATTAAATGAGCTTTGAAAATAAACAAACATGCATTATGCATGATCTATTTATTTCTGTAAACAAATGTAACAAAAGCTGTAAAACAATGATTTGCTAAGTAGTAATAAATTTTATTATTTTAAAACATAGTTTAAGAAAATAAAGTTATTTCTGTAAATATAGATTTAAATAAATTGATTTATTAAATTTTAGATATGGCATTTTTGATGTAATTATTTTATTGTTACAGGCAACTTTTGATCCAGAAATATTTTTCAACATCATTTTGCCACCAGTCATATTTAATGCTGGATACAGTTTAAAAAAAGTAAGATTTGATTAAAAATATACTTTATGTGTATTGTATTGTGTGTTTGTAAGTGATGCACATTTAAACTACAGTACTAAACATATAATATACAGTAATATGAAAGTATTGTATTTCATGTAATGTGTTTCATATTACTGTAATTTTAAATGTAAGTAAATTATATGGAAAAAATGTAAAAACTCTTCAAATTCAGATGCTTTCTTATATCTGAAATATTCCTTGAAAATTTTTTTAAAATCCAGGATGAAATATATTTTTAAAAAATTGAAGACTAAATACAATAAAAATTTGATGTCTTCACACATCTTTCACAACCACAGGAACACAATTAACATGAGCAGTGTTGCATTTTTTAAAATATTTCTTAAAAAATTTTTTAAAATTGTTAAGATGTGTATTATAGTTATGCAAATTATTAAGGAAAATTTTTCCTGTAATTTAATTAGGAAGAATTTAAAAATGTGTACAGTACTAATATAATTTTAGTGAAGTTTGCTGTAATAAAACTGTTGAAATATTACATTTTTAAAATAATTAATAATATTTATTTGACTTATATACAATAACATTTGTCTTATTGGCATGTCACAGTATGATTTATAGAATTTACATATGTAAGGTAGTTCTGCTGTAACAGTGGGGAATTTGCATGTGTTAGAGGTTCTATGACTTATTTTGAATTTGAGAAGCAAACAAGACTTGTGTTTTGACAAGGGCAGAAAGTTAAGGCTTGCAGAATGGTAATGGGGAACCATGGCACCATATTTTTTCAGGTAGATGGTAACTGGAATCAAAAAAATATTTAAAACAGTTGTAAGGAGGGATGATGCAGGTCTGAAAATTTTTTTCAAGGATGGATCAATCCCTAAATAACCCTCATAAAGCTATGGTGACAATTTAGAGATCCAATTAATGTCCACTAATGTGTTTGCAGAAAAAATTTCCAAAGGTTGGAACTGGGATTAAAAAAAAACCACTTCAATGGAGAGGTTCTAGTCAGTGTATGGCCATAATTGTACAAAAAGAAAAAATTTTTCCTACATGTTTGTGTCTATTTAAATTCTTTTGTCTTGAACTCCATTGTCTCTGCCCTCCTCCCATTTCAAGTTTTCCTGATCCTAATCCCTTTGATTCTGACACACGTATTTATCATTCATCTTCATCCTCAAGAACACTCTTTTTCTCTCTTGGAAATATTTGCAGTTGAGATGTAAATGCTTGCACTGGGATAACTAATGGTATGAACACCTATGTTGCTAATATAAGTAAAAAGTATTACCTCTGAAAAAGAGATTTGGGAAGTATATATTCTGTCTCCTCCTTTACAATTAAAAATTCCCATATGCATAACTCAAATTTGACAGTTTCCAAGAAAAAAACTGACTAGTGTCAATGAACATCACACTACACAATCCACCTACTGTTTGTAGAAAGGACCCCCCCCATACATGTAATATTTAAAGTTGACCTTATATTAACAGTTATTATTAAAATTATATTCTAAAATAAAGCACCATGAAATGCTCATGGTTATAGATGAACCAGGATTATACTTAAGCACAGGCATGTGGAGTGCTAGTTTGGACTCTAATAAAGCTATTTTTGACTAAAAGTTACAAAAAACACATTTTACTACATAAAAATTATAATGATAAATAATGTACACAAAGAAATTTGGGTCTCCTTTTACCTATTTCAAATAAGAAAATGTTAAACTGCATTACAATGAAAATAAATCATGTCAGGAGACTGGTCAAATGTTTTTTCATCTTATTGTCTGCAGGTTTCTATATTTTTGTGGCAACCAATGACATTTAAATTATTATTTTTAATTGAAAACATTAAACATTTAGTACTTATCAATTGGGGCCCAAATTTATGATGATCATCAAGCATTGTGATGTGAAGGAACAACTTGGAAAAGATAGCAGACTCTAATCATGAAAGCCAGAAACATGATAGGAATCAATGTGCTGACCATGATCATATTGTCAGTACAAAGGTGTTATATTACAGAGTTTATTTAAGTATTGTTTTTTATATTTCACAATATTATAATGTTTGTGTTTTAAACAGAGCAGTAAAAATAATACTTTTTATTTTATTTAGGTACTGAAGTTTTTTGGACATTGTTATCTTTAAAATGGATTCTTTAATTAATTAAGAACTTGGTGTCTTGGACATTAAGTATGATCTTAAGATAAACAGTAAATAAAAACTATCAGAAATTTTAAAATAAATTCTGTGTTCATTAAAAACAATGATAAAAAATAACTTAAAATATTTTAAATAGCCTCTGATTAAACAAAGTTCAAATGAATAGAACCATGGGCATGAAGCCAAGTACCTTTACTAATTTATCATTTTTCTTATTTTTGCATTTTCCTTACTTTTTTAGGATAAGTTAGTTTGTATTGAATATAGTTTTTTTAATCATTAATGGTTTTTTTGTTTGAAATATATACACCAAAACTGTATAAATTTGTATTTTCAACTTTTGCCGTGTTTGTATGTACATGTTTTTTTTACACACACAATTATTTTATTTTATTTTTTTTTATATTGGAACCTAAAAGATTTATTTATCTAAGAAAATTAAGCTACTAGTAATCCTTACAATTGTAATTCCACATAGGGATGTTTATATGCTTATATCCGCTTATATTATCTCTTGTAACATTCTGTGTAAATAATTATAAATTAGTTTAATATAAATATAAAAACATTTATTATTTAGAAATTACATTAAATTTTATTATTTTTAGCGATATTTTTTTAGGAATCTTGGAACAATTATGTCATATGCCTTTCTTGGAACAACAATATCCTGTGTAGTTATTGGGTGAGTTATTAATATTTTTGAGTAGATGATGATAATTGAAAATATTTATTTCGATCACTTAATAAATCATGTTTACCAGTTATTGAAACTAAGCAAGTTACCATCTGTTATAAAAGTCATAATTGTATTTACTGTATATTTTGAACAAACTATATCAGGAAATCTGTTTATTGATTATTTATACAATAGTTCAAGATAAAATCTATAAAATTAATTTATTCTGTAATTTATAGTTAAAATATATTAATTTCATTATTAACTTAACAACTGATACTCACTGAATAATAATACAGTAAATACAGCTTAAACAACCTTTATTTATTTCATTTATTTATTTATTTAAGCATACTGGTACAACCATGATGTAGGGAGAAAACATACAAAAAATCATACAACATATCCATTAATACAAAAAACAAATGTATACAACTTAAAACTAAAACATAATAGTAAATAAAAAATAAATTCAATTTTAAACCTAAAAGTGGGAGAGCTATCCATAAAATAAAATAAAAAAAAGTTACCAGAAAATGAGGCTATATCTTACCTAGAAAATGAAAAATAATCAGTTTAGTCTCTTATTCACAAATCAGATAATCTCTCAAATAACCAAAGCTAGCCACTGGTTAAATAACAAGGAAACCAAGCCCCAGGACACAGTTAACATAAAATTACTAACAGCTTTCACTATGAACCTTGAAAAATGAATCAGTACCAGAAATTACTTTCTTAAATTTATTAAATGCAAAACAGGTAACACCAAAAATCTCCTCACATAATTTTGACAAAGAGGCATAAACTGTGATTACGTGATATGTATCCAATGATGGATCAACCGTACCACACATGCAAATGTTCCTTCTAGAAAATTAAAAATAATCAGTTTATTCTCTTATTCACAAATCGGATAGTTTCCCAACTCATATAACTATTCATTAATTTTACATATTTAGCAAGGTTTAAATTATTTTTAATAATTCTGTAGAATTTTTATAAATAAAAACCGAACAGTTTATACATTCAACAAACAAATGCTATGTAATTTTTCTAATGAACATTTAAAAATAATCCAAATTTTAAAAGAATTAATTTTTGGATTGCATTGCTTATTCTTGCTAAAGATATTCTGATTAATAATTTTTATTTTTCATGTGAAATCTGTGAATTAATGCAGTTGTCAGAAAAAAAGAAACATAAACAACTCCGATAGAAAAAATGCTCCTGGTGAGAATTAGATCGGAGGTCACCATTTGTTATACAATTAGATGGGAAAGTTGACACATAGGTGTCAAGAATGCACCATTATTGTCAACATGTGATGATCATGTGACTCCTTTCCCATGACAACTGAATAAAAGCTTGAGCCCCCAGAAGCTCGGCGCGTCCGCACACAGAAGTTATTTCTGTACTTGTGTCAGTCGACCTCCATGCAAAGGAATTGGATCCCATTGGAGAAGACACAGAGGATCATCGCCATATCAACTCTCCATTACTCTGAGATATAGAACTTGTAAAATCGCTCTCTCTCTCTCCCTAAAGTTAGGCAAGCGACATAGACAAGAATAGTCGCCTATTATATGTAAATAGTCTAGTATAACCGCATTTAACCTTAGTCTTATTTTTGCCTCCTGTAACTTAAATCTAGTAATTCAANTAAATTTACCTTCTTGTTTTTATTTTAGAGGAGTAATGTATTCATTTCTTCAGCTGATGTCATATTTGCAGTTTTCCTTCACAGATTGTCTTTACTTTGGAGCAATTATATCTGCAACAGACCCTGGTATTTATGTTACTACACAAATTTTAATACAGTGTCCCCTTGTTATATCATGTTTGTTGAGAGACAAAGAATAAGCACAATTTAACTGCAATTTAATTAAAAATTCTGGGCTTTTACTAAAAGATTATACATGCTATGGAATCTTTATCTACTTTTCTTTTATCAGCAAGTGTTTGTTATAAAATAAGCTTAGTTTTGCAATACTGAATTTTATTCATGGTTAAACTGTAGTAAATGAACACCTATTTAACATTATTGTTTTTTAACAATGACCTTTAAAGAGAAATACTGTCATTATAAAAACAAAATATCAGTTGCAATTTTATTATACAGTACTATATTTCATAATAAATCACTTATTAAAAATTTGTGTAATTTATATTTGTCAATAAAAATTATAAATACAGTAATTGAAAATTTAAAAAATAAGTATTGAATGTATAATAGAACATCAAAACATATAAAATTAGAGTAAAAATTCTCTAAAAAACAAAATAAAGTTACTACTGTATAAAAAAAAATTTTAGAACTTTCCTTCAGAAATAAAGAAATCTTTTCCTTATACATTACACAGTGACATTTCAAATTCACACCTTTATGTGAATTGAGTGTATTTCATCAATTTACATAAAAGTGTGAAATTTCAAATTCACAGAAACTTGTAAATGAGGAGACAGTACTTAAAACCAATAAACAACATTTAATATCAAAAGGAAACATAAATGATAATTGATCCTTCCACCTTTTTTGCTTATTTAGATTTTGATGAATTTATTGTTTCAACTGCAGTGGTAGTTTCAAAGACAACGGTAGGAATAAAATACCATATCATATTTCATTGCAAAAAGAAATTCAATGGCAATTGATATTTTAAAATTTATTGACTTGAATGCTTTTAAATTTTGGGAGACTAAAAAAAAGTGTTATATATCTGAATCCATGATATAATGAGGGACTACTGTATTTTTTTCTATAAAAATTTATGGTGATTTTATATGAAGTAGACATGCAATTTAATTAATTTTTATGAATCTAAATTTACAAAAGTTTTTTTAAGTATTGACAGTAATATTTGTTACATAAAAATTTTATTCACCATTCATTCAAACAAATCTCACATTTGAATAATAATATTGTAGTAATAAAATGGTTTTTATGTAAACTCAAATGATATTTAATAAGAAAAATGTTTAAAAAACATTATTTGCATAAAAGTTAAGATTGTTATACTATGCATTTTATATTTTCATATTAAATCTTAGTTTATTAAAATGAAATTTATAAAATGTGTTCCATAAAAATTTTATTAGATAGTTCAGTCAAAGGAAATTTAGTTTCATTTTTAATTATATTCAATGCTATTAATGCAGTTCTATAAAAAACAAAATTTTAATTGTTCAATATTTTTATTAATTTATTTTAAAGTCAAAGGAAAAAAATTAAGTTAATATGAAACAACATTGCTAGACCTGATATATAATATAGCTAGACACCAACCAAATGCCGAAATTCTATCGGGCTAGTTTAACCTTAGCCTTAAACTAGCCTTAAACTCGCCCGATAGAATTTCGGCATTTGGTTGGTGTCTAGTTAATATGAAAATCGTTTTTCATGTTTGNCCAATTATTACCAAATGTTAACTGTAGCATCTATGTCCCCAAAATGTTTACTATTAACCAAACCTACAGATTTTTTATTAATTAAATAAAACTGCAACAGATTTCTGTCTGTCTATTTGTCTCTCTCTTCACTAGATGGTGATACATGAATTAGTACTTCCTGTCAAGGCATTATCTATAGGAAAAGTAAGTATGTTATTGAAGTTTAGTATTATATTTGAAGACTTGACATTAAATTATAATTAGTTAATTAGCAAAATCTTTGAGGCATTAAAAAAGTGACATCATTATGCTGGATAGCAGTATGTGTACATATGACAGGTTTTCGAATCTTTATGTATTGTGTTCATTGATTTATTCATTAGGGAAAGTGATCATTAAAATCATTATTAGTTTAAAAATCAAGAAATCTTACTACAGTTTTAATATATCTACTCCCTGAAGTTCACTAAACTGCTTAATAAATACCACTTACATTTTAATTTTTATTTATTTATTGGGCTGCAATTTTCAAATTGCATTCCTACTGTTGTCCATCTGTCTGTCTTTAATCTCAAGAACATGGTTAGATAGACAAAAGTTGAGACCAAATGTGGAAAGCTTGGGCTGGAGGCTCCAATTAACTATATACAAACTTCCAGTCTGGACTGGAAGTTACATGAACATTTTTAAATTTAAAATATGAAAAATGTTGCAGACTGGCATAAGTAATTGCTAACTTTTTATATATATAATTAATTTCTTCAATATTGTTAAATTTATTTAAAATGATGGTTCAGTGTTATGTTTCTATTATTTGGAATTATTAATATGTAGGGTTTGTGGGATGTTTATATATAAAATTATAAATTTGTCATTTTTTTATTAAATTATTTACATTTCTTTATCTCCTTTCATTTTAAAATAATTTAATGAAAGTTGTTTGTATAGAAAAACTGCCACTAATAGTAAAATGGATGAAAATATTAATTTTTAATTAAATAATAATTAATAAAAATTTTACATTAATTTTTACCAGTTAAGAAAGATACTATACAAAGTGGAAATAACTAAATTTTTCAATAAGTAATGTTGTGAGACATAAAAGAACTGTATCATCAATTTGGTTGCTATTTTTACTGCTAATACTCATTACTTGAGCTTCTGTGTGTCAATCAAGTCTAGTTTAAATTGTTTACTTTTTAAAATTTTAAATATTTTTCTGAATACTTTATTTTAAAAGAAAATGTTTAATATTTTTTAGATCAATCTCCAGTTATGTTGAAAATTTTCAAGGACAGAGTGGATTTGAAGCATCTTCAGCATTTAAATCACTTGGAAATTTTTGTTACATATTTTTATGTTCCTTTTTAATTGGTTCATTAATGGGATGCAGTACAGCAGCAATATCCTTAACATTTACAATTAGTATTTAAATATAATATTTTTTCTTTTAAAAATTTGAATGGTTAGAATTTCTTAATTATCTTCTACCTAACAAAATTTACTAGGCTTTGTGAGTTACCTCTACTGGAATCTTGCCTATTTTTTCTGATGTCTTATAGTACTTTTCTGATGGCAGAAGCAGCTCAACTTACAGGTATAAATGCTGTTCAATAACTATTGTGTGTGCATGTGTGCATTCGTAAGTAATTTTGAGGTTTAACATATCTAATGAGTTAAATTTTATCTTAAATAATCTTCACCAATAAATTTAAATCATAAATTATATATATTTGCTACTTAATTATCATTTATCCTAAATATATCAGAAATTTCCATAAATAAGTTGCCTCAAAAAATAAGACAAGCTTATTCTTGAGTACTATTTTCAACACTTCAGTTTTCAGGATGATGGCTTTCTTTGGTGTGAAGGATAGTGAATGATGACACACTTTCCAGAAAAAACAGATTAGCTTATTGTTATGGTGATATCAAAATTCTCAACCTTTAATTTTGAAAAAAGCTGATATCATGGCCAAAAAGCTGACAGCCAAAATTTTAATTGAAAAGTAACAGTTTTGACAATTTTGATGGTATTTTCTAGTGCAAAGTGTGAAAAATGATGATCTTATTTAACAACTCATTTTATCACACTCAAACTTTTGATCATTTTGCACTTGTTATACTAACACAGTAGTGTCAAATAGTGATTCTCAAATGTAAGTTACAACCCAAGTGGGGTGTAACCTATTCTTCTTATACACTTTTTCATAAACATTATTCTCTGCTTAAAAATTTTTCAAAGTTTTGTCTATATTTTTTCTTTGGCTTTTTTTTGACAAAGAAAAATTATAGACAATGTTCAATTGATCATCAGTCATAATTAACAGAAAAAGGGATTAGTGGATTTGTATGTTTTTAATAATAATATCATTCTAATATATGAAAAAACAAATTGTACAAAAAAAAAAACAACAAAAAAAAGGAAATATGCTACAAAATTTTTAAAATATGGATTTCCATATAAAAGTTAATAGTGAACATGTATCATTTTTCATAATTTGTTTTAGTGATGGGATGATATCAAAATTTTTCCTAATTCCAATTCTTTTGAATACTTTCTAAAGTTTATTTTAGTTTAGAAAAATTAATGATTTACATTATGAGCATGGCATATTCATCTATACTACTATATAAAGAGACAATGTATTTTTTGTTTGTTCCAACTAACTGTAAAAACTATTGAACCAATTATTACCAAATGTTAACTGTAGCATCTATGTCCCCAAAATGTTTACTATTAACCAAACCTACAGATTTTTTATTAATTAAATAAAACTGCAACAGATTTCTGTCTGTCTATTTGTCTCTCTCTTCACTAGATGGCAATACATGAATTAGTACTTCCTGTCAAGGCATTATCTATAGGAAAAGTATGTTATTGAAGTTCAGTATTATATTTGAAGACTTGACATTAAATTATAATTAGTTAATTAGCAAAATCTTTGAGGCATTAAAAAAGTGACATCATTATGCTGGATAGCAGTATGTGTACATATGACAGGTTTTCGAATCTTTATGTATTGTGTTCATGATTTGTCAGGCTTAGCTGTATTTGCATGAACTTTATTTATTTGTGTGAGCGAAGATTATGCCTGCTCAAAAATGATAAATCCTCAGTGCAAAAAACCCTGAAGTGCTTTCATTTATGACACACTTAGAATATTCATCATCAGCTAATATTGGATCTATAGATAAAGTATGTGGGTATTGTAGTGCTCTGAAGTGGAAGAATGAATCACGGGATTTGCTGCTCTTCTGGCAAAGTTAAACTGGAAGTTGTACTTGCCCCAAACTTTTTTTATCACTATTAAATGGGACTCATCCTGACACTAAACATTTTTTAAAGCACAATAGGGCCTTCCAAATGACAAGTTTTGGTACCATTGAAATACTTGAAAGAAATTTCATGCCAACATTCAAAATTGAGGGACAGATATATCATTTAATAACATACCATTAATCCTGACAAACTACCCATTTGAATGTAAACATCTACAATTTCCAGTCGGTCTATGCTTTACAATGACCATTAACAAGTCTCAAGGCCAAAGCCTGAGAGTTGTGGGACTCGACATGGAATGCAGTTGCTTTTCGCAGCAACTCTATGTTGCGTGCTCACATGTTAGTAGTTGCAAATCTGTTCATTTGTGCTCCTGATGATAAAACACAAATGTTGTATATTGGAAAGTTATTCAATAAGTTTATCTAGAAAATATTCCACACTTTTAATAGAAATATAATGAATCTGTAATACAATTCTCTGCATATATACTCTTTAGGTAAGTAAATATAATTTCACCAAATAAATATCTCCCATCAACAACGAGTAACACAGCTAGTTGATTAATAAACATAAGGTTTAAGAATGGAAAATGATTGGGAAATTCAGAATCAATATTTTGAAAGACACCTTAAAATTCTCCATTTATATGTGGATATTCATGCTTTTATTGTGTACCACAAAATAAATTTGTAATCTTATTCAGATAAAGTTAATATTGCAATACTATCCTGAAAGAAATTACAACTAATAAATTTCCTTTTAATCAAAGAATTATCCCATTGTGTCATCTAAGGTCGTCGTCATCTTTGGAAACTACTTCATTGACTGAGGAGATGACCAGGAGAGGGAAAGGTAAATGAGAAGATGCATTTCTTTTTTCATGCTTCTCAGAATTGGCATGCCACATAAATGCTTTAATTCCATCATATTTAATACTAAATGAGGTTCAGCAAATGATGCAATGAACCAAACAAATATCATCATCATTACCAGTTAACCAAGTTTTGAATCCATTCACTTGAGCCAGATTTTCCTAAATGTGCAATTGCATGAGGTTTTTTGAGGAAAGAAGAATCAAACAAATGTCTAGACTGACTCATCATGAAAAAGCAATTTTTAAAACTCAAACAGTCAGTAAATTTAGCACAATAATTATTTTATTTCGAATTGTATGAATCGCATTTGTTATGATTAACAGTATCATGACAAAAACACTTCTATATAAGCTGAATACTAATTTAACTTGAACAACACCTCAAATACTTTTTTAGCAACACTTTAATTTCTTTAAATAAACATTTTCAACACCTTTTCCATAGATCTGTATTCATTTAACAAAAAGATTCAAACTGTCTTCTTAAGCAGTTTGAATTCTTGTTAAACCTGATGCAGATGTATGAAAAAGATGTTGAAAATGTTTAAAATGAAAATATTAAAAATAATTTTATATATTACAGGCCAGATAGCAACCCTATCTCTCTCAAAATGGGAACATTAGTACCAACTGAATGCAATCACTCATCACTCTGACTACACAAAACAAAAGTCACCACAACAGATGTCACCTCATATATGGGGCATTATGTGCTCTCTGCTTTATTTATGTGATAGCTTCCAATAAACTAATACTCAATTGTTAATATTGTAATTTAAAAAATTTTTAATCTTCAACTGAAACAAATAATTTTCTTGTTAAATGTGGAAGAATCATTTTAAGAATCAGAAATTCTGATGATATTTGCTCAATTCCGATTCCCAGAAAATGCCTGATTTTTCTGATTCTGATTAATCACCCCATCACAATTTGTATCAAAACTTTTAAAAGTTTCAAGCTCTTAAAAACATTTGGAAACAAATCATATAATGTGTGTCAACAAATTTATATTTTTTCAAAGAAAACATCCATCATCATCAAAAAAATTTTTATTAGCAAACAAAATTTAAAACAGATTGATAATTGGAAGATTCAGGAAACAGCAGACAAATGCTAAAAACAATGAATGTGCAGATGGCCCACTCAAAAATCTAACTGTTTATGCAAAATGCAGACAGTTGAGAGCTCTTTAATATGTAATTTATCTTTAATATGTAATATTCTTTAGATTTGTTCTGCCTGAGACAGTCATTAAGGAAGGAGTAGTATTATAATTGTACAAATATATGCTTATTTTTTAATGCTCTTTAGATTATTCTGTTGTTGTAAATTTTTATAATCAATCAAGTATAAGAACTTTGAAGCATATGGAGTAGCTAAAATGGATTACAAATGTTGAAGAAGAAATAGATCAGAGTTGCTTAGAGATAATGATTCTATAGAATCAGAAAATAATATGATGATGATGAAACACGAATAATATGATGAGGATGATCAACATAATTTTTATTAATAAATTTTCAGTAACATATTCTTGTTGTCAGTACAGTCGACCCCCCTATAACATAGATACGTTCCACTTTATAAGAATTTCACATTGTAGGAATCCTTAAATACATGAGCCAATCACAGCCCGGCAGGTGTGCAGTTTACAGACTATGGCTGTTTGAAAGGTTTTCTACCATAAAATTAATCGATTCTAGACTAATTTGACTCAACATTTCCAAAACATGTATAATTTTTTGGGAATAATCTGTATAAACTATGCTATAAACAAAAAATTGTAGGATTACTTACCGAGTATGCACCGTTCGACAACGCCGTTGCTTAAGCTTGTTTTCGTCGCAAAGCAGCACACCAAATGGTGGGTGCATTTTCTGATAAGTTATTTTCCTGCGAAAAATTTGTTGAACTTTGGAGACATCATTAATAAAAATAATTTTTATGGCCGTTGAATAAGAAATGTTTTTTTCACAAGAAATGTATAAAATTACAGTACTATATTAGACTTACAGTACTGTACCTAATTTATATACTGTACAGACAACAGTAAACTCAACTTACCCACCTAAACTCTTCGTAGCGTGTAAGTAGTTCGGCTGCTCATCCACTATTGGTCCAGATTCAACCAATCCTGTTGCGACATGAGTCGGTGATGACATTTTACCATATTTTATGAGTCTCTTTTAGCGTATTTATACGAATACGATCACAATTTTTTCGCCACAATATAAGAATCCGCATTATATGAACCTGCGTTATAGGGGGTCAACTGTATTTTACATGAAAGTTCTTTAGTTCTTTAACTAATATTAAGACGACTTATTTATGGAAATATCAAATAATAATTTGATTATTTGGAAGTGAATTATACAAATTAAAACTTTAAATCTAGATTTTACTCAGCTATTTGAAATATATTTTGGTTTGAAAAATATTTTATGTACTTGGCAAAAAACTTTAAAAATTTATGTTCTCTGTGGTATTTATTATTGTGCAGTGTTATTATTTTCATTGTATGATATAAAAATAAAAATTGAAAATTTTAATTTTTTTTACATTTAAATTCATTTACACTAAATTTTACATCAGTTGTTCATTAAACAATTTTAAATATGAAAAATAATATCATAATAAAAGAGATTACCAAAAAAATTAAGAAAAATATTCATGTAATAAATAATAAATTCTGTGTAATCTTCCACGAGATTTAAAGTCAAATGATTGCTGCATTAAATTGGGCTATATTACTACTACTATTAATAATTAAATGCTAAGTAATTTGGCTTAGAGATAGGCATTAGATGCTATCTCTTATTAAATTTAATAATTATAATTAATATTTATTAATTGATTTAAAAAGTTCTGAAAGAAAATCAGCCCAGAGAGGGACTCAAACCCACAACTACTGCTGCTTACTGTGCAGATGCATTGCCAGTTATGCTATATGGCCTTTATCTAGTCTTTGCTTTCAGAACTATTAATTTAGATATTACCATACTTGTTACACATTGGATGGAGGTCCAGTTAGTATAACTGGCAATGGATTTGCATGGTGAGAGGCAGTTGTGAGTTCAAGTCCTGCTCCAGGCGGATTCTTTTCTTCCAGAACCTTCTAAATTAATAAATACATATTAATTTAATTACAGTTTTTAAATTTAATAAGAGATAGCACCTTAAACCTACCTTTAGGCCAAATTAATTAGCATATAATTATTAATAGTAACAGTAATATAACCCGATCTAATCTGGATTCTGGTTTTAATATAAATATCATATTTACAGATATTTATATTTACACACTAGATTTAATGTGTTTAAAGTTAAATAAAATGTTTAAATTGTTAGGAACTACTTTTATTTGCTCATTATTATAAAGGTATTTAAAATTAATCTGTTGGTAGTTGTATTCACATAAGCAATATTTAAAATTCAGGAATTGTTGCTGTTTTATTTTGTGGAATTTGCCAAGCTCACTATACATATAACAATTTATCAGATGAATCAAGAGCAAGAACAAAACAGGTAAATATCTGCTGCAATTAATAATTCTAAGGAAGATATTTAAACTTTTAAGAATAGTTAGTTTTAAATTTTTTGAATAATTTTCATTGATTTTAAACAAAAATATATTCAGAATAATTTTTTTATTCTGAATATATTTTTGTTTTCAAAATTTTAATTTAAAAATATATTCATAAAATATTTGTAAATGTATATTATAGAATTATTTCTAATTAATCATTTTTTTTTCCTATAACAGTTGTTTGAATTACTAAGCTTTCTAGCAGAAAGTTTTATCTTTACTTACATTGGTGTTTCAATGTTCACATACAGAAAACATACCTGGAATTTTGGTTTTATTTTAATTGCCTTTGTATCCTTTATAAAGTAGTTTATTGAAATAATAATGAATATACTGTTTTTATTATGATATATTTAGAGTAATAGAAGTCAATAACTTTTAAACTTGACAAATGTTAATATTTAGAAGAATTTTGGTGCAAGCAGCATGCACCAAAAATTCTTCTAAATCCACTTAAATGTAAATTAATTTTTATTATGTATAAAAATTTATGTAATTAAAATTGAGAGATTATTTTATGATTTTATTTTTCTTTGGGAGTGCTGCAAATCTACAGTACTTATCATGAGTCACCACTGTTTGTTTCAGTTTGGGTATTTATATTAGTTAGAGTTTGAGAATACAGTAGAACCTCCATTATCTGGACCTCCATTATCCGGATTTTCGATTATCCGGATTGTTCAAAATAAACAAAAATTTTACGAATTTGCTGATTTGCACTTGGCGAATTACGACACTGTTTATGTACGTGATGGAATGCATAACTTTTTTTGNCATTAATTTTTACCAGTTAAGAAAGATACTATACAAAGTGGAAATAACTAAATTTTTCAATAAGTAATGTTGTGAGACATAAAAGAACTGTATCATCAATTTGGTTGCTATTTTTACTGCTAATACTCATTACTTGAGCTTCTGTGTGTCAATCAAGTCTAGTTTAAATTGTTTACTTTTTAAAATTTTAAATATTTTTCTGAATACTTTATTTTAAAAGAAAATGTTTAATATTTTTTAGATCAATCTCCAGTTATGTTGAAAATTTTCAAGGACAGAGTGGATTTGAAGCATCTTCAGCATTTAAATCACTTGGAAATTTTTGTTACATATTTTTATGTTCCTTTTTAATTGGTTCATTAATGGGATGCAGTACAGCAGCAATATCCTTAACATTTACAATTAGTATTTAAATATAATATTTTTTCTTTTAAAAATTTGAATGGTTAGAATTTCTTAATTATCTTCTACCTAACAAAATTTACTAGGCTTTGTGAGTTACCTCTACTGGAATCTTGCCTATTTTTTCTGATGTCTTATAGTACTTTTCTGATGGCAGAAGCAGCTCAACTTACAGGTATAAATGCTGTTCAATAACTATTGTGTGTGCATGTGTGCATTCGTAAGTAATTTTGAGGTTTAACATATCTAATGAGTTAAATTTTATCTTAAATAATCTTCACCAATAAATTTAAATCATAAATTATATATATTTGCTACTTAATTATCATTTATCCTAAATATATCAGAAATTTCCATAAATAAGTTGCCTCAAAAAATAAGACAAGCTTATTCTTGAGTACTATTTTCAACACTTCAGTTTTCAGGATGATGGCTTTCTTTGGTGTGAAGGATAGTGAATGATGACACACTTTCCAGAAAAAACAGATTAGCTTATTGTTATGGTGATATCAAAATTCTCAACCTTTAATTTTGAAAAAAGCTGATATCATGGCCAAAAAGCTGACAGCCAAAATTTTAATTGAAAAGTAACAGTTTTGACAATTTTGATGGTATTTTCTAGTGCAAAGTGTGAAAAATGATGATCTTATTTAACAACTCATTTTATCACACTCAAACTTTTGATCATTTTGCACTTGTTATACTAACACAGTAGTGTCAAATAGTGATTCTCAAATGTAAGTTACAACCCAAGTGGGGTGTAACCTATTCTTCTTATACACTTTTTCATAAACATTATTCTCTGCTTAAAAATTTTTCAAAGTTTTGTCTATATTTTTTCTTTGGCTTTTTTTTGACAAAGAAAAATTATAGACAATGTTCAATTGATCATCAGTCATAATTAACAGAAAAAGGGATTAGTGGATTTGTATGTTTTTAATAATAATATCATTCTAATATATGAAAAAACAAATTGTACAAAAAAAACAACAAAAAAAAGGAAATATGCTACAAAATTTTTAAAATATGGATTTCCATATAAAAGTTAATAGTGAACATGTATCATTTTTCATAATTTGTTTTAGTGATGGGATGATATCAAAATTTTTCCTAATTCCAATTCTTTTGAATACTTTCTAAAGTTTATTTTAGTTTAGAAAAATTAATGATTTACATTATGAGCATGGCATATTCATCTATACTACTATATAAAGAGACAATGTATTTTTTGTTTGTTCCAACTAACTGTAAAAACTATTGAACCAATTATTACCAAATGTTAACTGTAGCATCTATGTCCCCAAAATGTTTACTATTAACCAAACCTACAGATTTTTTATTAATTAAATAAAACTGCAACAGATTTCTGTCTGTCTATTTGTCTCTCTCTTCACTAGATGGCAATACATGAATTAGTACTTCCTGTCAAGGCATTATCTATAGGAAAAGTATGTTATTGAAGTTCAGTATTATATTTGAAGACTTGACATTAAATTATAATTAGTTAATTAGCAAAATCTTTGAGGCATTAAAAAAGTGACATCATTATGCTGGATAGCAGTATGTGTACATATGACAGGTTTTCGAATCTTTATGTATTGTGTTCATGATTTGTCAGGCTTAGCTGTATTTGCATGAACTTTATTTATTTGTGTGAGCGAAGATTATGCCTGCTCAAAAATGATAAATCCTCAGTGCAAAAAACCCTGAAGTGCTTTCATTTATGACACACTTAGAATATTCATCATCAGCTAATATTGGATCTATAGATAAAGTATGTGGGTATTGTAGTGCTCTGAAGTGGAAGAATGAATCACGGGATTTGCTGCTCTTCTGGCAAAGTTAAACTGGAAGTTGTACTTGCCCCAAACTTTTTTTATCACTATTAAATGGGACTCATCCTGACACTAAACATTTTTTAAAGCACAATAGGGCCTTCCAAATGACAAGTTTTGGTACCATTGAAATACTTGAAAGAAATTTCATGCCAACATTCAAAATTGAGGGACAGATATATCATTTAATAACATACCATTAATCCTGACAAACTACCCATTTGAATGTAAACATCTACAATTTCCAGTCGGTCTATGCTTTACAATGACCATTAACAAGTCTCAAGGCCAAAGCCTGAGAGTTGTGGGACTCGACATGGAATGCAGTTGCTTTTCGCAGCAACTCTATGTTGCGTGCTCACATGTTAGTAGTTGCAAATCTGTTCATTTGTGCTCCTGATGATAAAACACAAATGTTGTATATTGGAAAGTTATTCAATAAGTTTATCTAGAAAATATTCCACACTTTTAATAGAAATATAATGAATCTGTAATACAATTCTCTGCATATATACTCTTTAGGTAAGTAAATATAATTTCACCAAATAAATATCTCCCATCAACAACGAGTAACACAGCTAGTTGATTAATAAACATAAGGTTTAAGAATGGAAAATGATTGGGAAATTCAGAATCAATATTTTGAAAGACACCTTAAAATTCTCCATTTATATGTGGATATTCATGCTTTTATTGTGTACCACAAAATAAATTTGTAATCTTATTCAGATAAAGTTAATATTGCAATACTATCCTGAAAGAAATTACAACTAATAAATTTCCTTTTAATCAAAGAATTATCCCATTGTGTCATCTAAGGTCGTCGTCATCTTTGGAAACTACTTCATTGACTGAGGAGATGACCAGGAGAGGGAAAGGTAAATGAGAAGATGCATTTCTTTTTTCATGCTTCTCAGAATTGGCATGCCACATAAATGCTTTAATTCCATCATATTTAATACTAAATGAGGTTCAGCAAATGATGCAATGAACCAAACAAATATCATCATCATTACCAGTTAACCAAGTTTTGAATCCATTCACTTGAGCCAGATTTTCCTAAATGTGCAATTGCATGAGGTTTTTTGAGGAAAGAAGAATCAAACAAATGTCTAGACTGACTCATCATGAAAAAGCAATTTTTAAAACTCAAACAGTCAGTAAATTTAGCACAATAATTATTTTATTTCGAATTGTATGAATCGCATTTGTTATGATTAACAGTATCATGACAAAAACACTTCTATATAAGCTGAATACTAATTTAACTTGAACAACACCTCAAATACTTTTTTAGCAACACTTTAATTTCTTTAAATAAACATTTTCAACACCTTTTCCATAGATCTGTATTCATTTAACAAAAAGATTCAAACTGTCTTCTTAAGCAGTTTGAATTCTTGTTAAACCTGATGCAGATGTATGAAAAAGATGTTGAAAATGTTTAAAATGAAAATATTAAAAATAATTTTATATATTACAGGCCAGATAGCAACCCTATCTCTCTCAAAATGGGAACATTAGTACCAACTGAATGCAATCACTCATCACTCTGACTACACAAAACAAAAGTCACCACAACAGATGTCACCTCATATATGGGGCATTATGTGCTCTCTGCTTTATTTATGTGATAGCTTCCAATAAACTAATACTCAATTGTTAATATTGTAATTTAAAAAATTTTTAATCTTCAACTGAAACAAATAATTTTCTTGTTAAATGTGGAAGAATCATTTTAAGAATCAGAAATTCTGATGATATTTGCTCAATTCCGATTCCCAGAAAATGCCTGATTTTTCTGATTCTGATTAATCACCCCATCACAATTTGTATCAAAACTTTTAAAAGTTTCAAGCTCTTAAAAACATTTGGAAACAAATCATATAATGTGTGTCAACAAATTTATATTTTTTCAAAGAAAACATCCATCATCATCAAAAAAATTTTTATTAGCAAACAAAATTTAAAACAGATTGATAATTGGAAGATTCAGGAAACAGCAGACAAATGCTAAAAACAATGAATGTGCAGATGGCCCACTCAAAAATCTAACTGTTTATGCAAAATGCAGACAGTTGAGAGCTCTTTAATATGTAATTTATCTTTAATATGTAATATTCTTTAGATTTGTTCTGCCTGAGACAGTCATTAAGGAAGGAGTAGTATTATAATTGTACAAATATATGCTTATTTTTTAATGCTCTTTAGATTATTCTGTTGTTGTAAATTTTTATAATCAATCAAGTATAAGAACTTTGAAGCATATGGAGTAGCTAA